CATATCCTGCAGGAATTGAGCCATCATCATATTCCCTATCAGATATACCTTCTGAGAGTCTCACATGTGAAATAAGAGGGCCAGCAGTCCTATATGGAAATTTCCTAAATGGAAATTTGTCCGATTTGTTCAGAATTCTAGATAGGATAATTGTAAAGGAGGTATTTTTGAAATATGTTTAATATGAAGAGAAAAACCTAAATTTGCTCTATTAGAATTCAGTTCTTTGAAAGCTTTTTGAAATTATTTTGTTTTTTAAATCATGTAGGAAATCAGCAACAGGATCAGTGTATCATGGGTAGTGTTACTGTGATATTAAATTCAAGTTGCTCTATATGTAGTTACTTACATGGTACATTTCAGTTTTTTATTATACTGACAGTTTATCTTTGCAATTGATATAGTAGATTATATTTTCAAGGAAAGCTATAATGAGCTTAATAACTGGGCAGAGAATTCCTGAGACTACTGAAATGGAAAAGACATTTTAATATTACCTGGCTGTGTGGGACATTCATTTTCACTGTATCTATTAAAGAAAATTCAACATCAATGAGTTCATTAAATCTGATGTTAAAATTTACATCATTAGATTTCAAAGTCAGCAAGCAGACATAATTATTTAGTGACGCAGTTTTTCTTTTTTTGTGTGGCATTTTTGAGAATGAAATGAATTGTTTACTTAGACAGGTGGCTTTATAGTGCTAATGGCTGATTTTAACAATATGTGACAGTAAGGGAAATTAGAGCTCATTAACATTCGACCCAGTGTCTGCACCACTGATCAATGATTGGACTACTCTATGGCTTAAAATGCTTAATGATTCTTTGTTTGGCGGGAATTAACTGCTATTGGAGGAAAATGTGGATGATCTGATAGCTGGCAGAGTGAATGTGGCCTGCACTTTATAATCAAGGAAAATGTGAACAACTGGGGAGCAGAATGAGTGAGAGAAGTCTTTCGAGGCTTGTGGTGATTGATAAACTATATTATGGTTGACACACACATGCTATGTTTTGCATAAAAGTGCTAACATCTGATTGAGCGGAAAAGCAGGGGTAAGTGAGATTGTCTGTGTGATTAGTGGAAGGTAATCAGCCATCTGTTAGGCATAGTATACTTGCTAAGGATGAAGATAGAAAGCATATGTGTGCATGTGCTTACACAGGGTCTCTCACCTTTCATATAAGTATCCACTACAATATAGGACTGTATATAAAGAATTAAAAGGCAAAAAATGCAAAAAATATACTCAATTCATCTATTTCTTCCTCACACCAGAAATAGTAGAAGCTGGTAGCTATGCTGTATAGTTCACAAATATGTCTTTTCAGCAGACTGAAACAATGGCTTTTGAAGTGACAGAAAAAAATTATCTGAGGTGTATTTTTTTTTAAATAATGGTATCATAATTCTCACTCTGATTGTGACTATAACAATAACGTTATGCCCTGAAAATATCGAGAGATTAACTTTTTATTGATAAAGACATTTGACCTTGTATTTTCATCTGTCCACCTGCAAGCTTAAAATCATCTAGTCTGTACAGCTATTCTGAGTACAGAAAAGATTTGGTTTAGAAGAAAGCTGGAGTCTGATGTAATATGGCTTGCTCACTTAAAACTGTCATTGATTTTACCAAGATTTTGTGATGTAGAGCATAGCTTTTAAGTTTTATTAAGAACTTTAGCAGCAGAGGAGGCCCTGCATGGAAGGAAATGAATCACTTCTTATCTCTTTTCAAAAATTATTTTTGCAAAGTATAAAAAATTTATCTAAATTTATTCAGTTTTAATATGTTCTAATACTCAGTGGTCTACAATTCACTATCTGTAGATCTCACAAAATCTGGAAAAACAAAATATTCCAGAAATACAGCCAAATCCAAGGCCAGCATTTAAATCAATCGATTTCAGTATCAATATATGACCTTAAAGTATTGTTTAACTTGATCATCCATTCCTACATATTTTTCAGCAAATGTTTTAATCCACCAGATGACACTTTTCAAATTTGAAACTGAAAATGGGTTAGCGAAAATGTATCATATGTCACTTAATGGTACATTATGCAAATACTAGAACTGATGAGGATTTCCATGTTCTACCTTGCTGTTTCCATCTTTCATGTTTCAGTATGCAATTACTACCCTAAATATTGGGTGTAGATAGAGGACAATAGATGCAAGTGCCCATATGAGAATAGGTGGAGAACAGAAAATTGGGTCATATTCAGTAGCTTGCGCCTTAATAAATTTTGTGAATGCAAACCTCTGCAAGGCTTGCAAGTGGTCAGTAATCTGAAAAGCAGAACCTACTTCTGATCAAAAGTATTTTTGCCAAGTTTTACAACTCCTAAATTGCATAAAATAGATATGTCTATGAGGTTTGCTGTTGCTGCTGGGCCTTGATGTTTGCTGTTCAGTACTTCAACGTTAGAATTTTGTAAAAACACCTCTGCATCGCGGATTCGCCTATTTTCTTTCCATGTCCGACGCATGAGGGTGCCTGAAAGCGGCACTGCCAGCGCCTTCCCGGCGCAGGCGTGCCCGGGGAATGGTGTCGCTTTGCTCCAATTGCGAAGGCGGTGGGGGAGGGATAGTGAGGTGGAGCTTTCGGTTTCTGCGGTGATTTTAGGAGCTCTTCAGTAACCGCACTGCTTCAGGGCCAGTTTTTTTGGAGTGCGCAGGAGAACCTTTTAGTTGTATTTTCTCGCAGCAAAGTTGGATGATGATGCCTTTTTATTCTGCCAAGAAGCAATTTAAAGAATCTGTGTCCTAGTCTTTGGATTCAGTAATTTCTTGCTTCAAGTTTCTCCTTTCAAGCATTTGTGAGCTTTTTAAAGCTTTCCCAGACCTGGCTAATTAGTATCCACTGTGTGTTTTACGACCTCTGTAGGATTTTTTTATCTTTATTTTTCTGAAGAATGTGAAAAGAATGCTCTATTTTAAAATTTCTCCAGATATTATTAATTGAAGTGTTGTAACTTCTTGTGATCTGGCAGAAAGGAAAGGATTTAAAGGACTTGTCTTTAAGAGCAACTAGGACTAAGGAAGCATAAGCTGTAATGCTGGAGAGCCACTATTAGAGAGTCAAGCACATCGTAACAAAAAACAGGTCAGCAGGTTCCTAATGACTGCTAATTGCAAACTCAGTGTATCAAAACTAGAACTATGCTCTGCATGCAGCATGGACTAGCTTTTGTTTGCTTCTGCAGGAGCATGTTTTAATTTCGATTTGCTAATTGCTTTAATGCCCTGACTAGAGCTGAGTCATACTGAAAAAGTCTGTAAGAGTGCCAGGTTTTTTTTGTGAAAAAACTATGAAGCAATTGCTGCCATTCCTGTGTTTCTGTATCATTTAGTGAATGATTATTTTGCTGATAGGCATGTTTAACAATAAATATCCAAAAATAAGGACCACACGTACTTCAACAAAATTTCATTTTCAGGAGGAAATAATGTAAAGAATATACTTAAAATACTTGGAGAGCTTGGGCTTTTAGAAAAGTTGATTCCTATGCTTTAAAACTGGGGCTATGATCAGCAGTCTCCAAGATAAAAATATTTTTAAACTGAGTGATTTGTCTAACAATATATTTTGAGTATTTACAGCAACAGAGTTTAAGTTGAAAAACAGGCAGTGAAAAGAGATGAACTTAAAAAATACTCAGCATCCTGAAATGTTAATTTCATCCAGTCTTCCTGCAGAACTTTTTATTTAACATCATTTAATTCTGAATTTTTCAAAATTTGGGCCTAAAGGGATAGAAAATGTACAGCAGGCACTGAGAATGTTTGAAATCTTTCATCCCTTTTTCTTGTTTGCATGATAGAAAATTTTGTTCTGAAGTGCCAAATTAATATTTAATATCAGTTTAATATCAGTTTTAAATATTGTTTTGTGAGGGGGACAAATATGCAAAAGATAGTTTACTAAGTAGTGGCAGGGTAGGAAATAAAATCAAATTAAATGTAAATTTTTTGTCCTTCCTGGCTATGATAAGTGGAATTGTGTTTGGATACTTCTTTGGTGCCGTCATTGCCTGCAGGAGTAGTCTCTGGATGCTGCAACTCCACTTGAAATATTTAGGAATGTAACTCAGTAGTCACAGGGTAGTTGATTTAATAGTGAAAGGCACTGGTTTTCTGCAATCCTATAGCTTTTATGTTAAGCAAGTAAAGTTTTTGGTATTTTTGGTTTGTCTTTTTGTTTCTTTTTTTTTCTTCTCATGCATAGGGTTTATGGCAGCCTTCTGTATTACATATAGCTAGAATGTGTAAAGAAAGAGGTACATAGTAAAATGTTTTACTTATTTACTTTTTCCAGTGGACCTTGTAAATGTATATTGATGACACAGCTTTTGGGCTTTTATAAAGCCACTTTGTAAAATGATGTTTTAATTTTTGGTACATATTTTGACATTTGGAATTCTTATCTCTACATTTTGTGAGAGTTGTTGCTCATTGCAACAGTCCTTAATCTAACAAAAATACAAGAATTTAAACTTCAAAATGAAAAGCAATAAATTAAACAAGTGTTCCCAACAGTTGCTTCAACTTTGCCTTCAAAGTTTTAGTTGTATGTGGGGGGACACTTGGGAAATTTGAATAAAACTCGAGATATTCTGTGTTTTGTCATAAATTTCAGGTGAAGGAATATGTTCTCATATGTACTAGTTTACAAATACCTGTCCTGTATTAACCTGTGGAGAACGTTTGTCATCAGTGAAAATTGTACTTTGCAAGGTGATTATCTACAATGAGAGAAATGTAGTATTTGTTATTATTCTCATAGAAAGATCTTGTTTGTTCAAATCAACAAAGTTAATTTGAAAAATCTGCTTAGTCTTGAACTTCTAGTGTAGATTTGTAAGGTGAAGAATTTATGTAGAAGTACAATACCTCAGACATTATCATTCACTCTTTGTCCTGTAAATATTTTTGTTGCTAAATTTGATCTTGTAACAGCAGTCTCTCTTTTTTTTTTTATCTTTACAGCTGTTTTTGAAATAAATATGGTTTAGACTTTCCCATGTTAGCCATGGATGTAGCAGTTGCTCCCATGAGAACACAAGAACTGGATTCGATGCCGTCTGATGCATCTCCTATGCTTATAAACATGACTCCTACAATGGAACAAGATGGGGAAGAGGATGCCATAAAGGATCTTGATTCTGGCCAGCAGTATGAAAAGCCTCCTCCTCTACACACTGGGGCTGATTGGAAGATTGTTCTCCACTTGCCAGAAATTGAGACCTGGCTTCGGATGACATCTGAAAGAGTCAGAGATCTGACCTACTCTGTCCAGCAGGACTCAGATAGCAAGCATGTGGATGTGCATCTAGTACAGCTGAAGGTAGGATGGATTTTATATTGTAGACTTCTCAGTGAAGGTGGTTCTTTCAACTCTGCTATTAATAAAGTAAACAAAAGGGTTCTCATGACTGCTGAAGCCCGTCTAACAGCATGTGTTAAAAAGTGAATAAATCCTTTTCAGGGAAATAATAGAAACCATTTAATTATCAGATATTTTTCAACATTATTTGCTCATCACTTAATTCAGTGGTCATAACCATACTCATCCAAGAGCAGGTGATACAAGATTAGCAGTGACCTGATTGGACATCTTACAAGTGCCCAGAAATATTCTCATTGATTTTAATGTTTACTGTACATAAAACTCCCAAATAAAATTCCAATAAAATTCTTAAAATTCCAATAAGCAGGGCCGCTCATTTGAAAACTATACAAGTTTCAGAGGTAGTGGGGTACCCAGGTGGTCTAAAGTCTGGCCTTTCAGTCATGTAAAGATTCATTGAAGATGGAACTCAGGTGGAATTACATGCAAATTTGTAAATACTTAGAATTTTTTTTTCAGATCTGAGACTTGGTAAGAATTATGAAGTGGTAAGATTTGAACAGTTACAACCAGTAAATCAACATTTTTGCATTCTTTTTCCAGCAAGATAATGCATTACCAAGACTGGAATTTGCCTCCCAAAAATATGTGTTTTGTGTAAGCTATAAGAGCAACAATCTCCTTCCAACCTGACAACTGAACCCAAGTATCTTTAAACAATTACCTCTGTCTTGGTCCCAGATTTAATTTTTGTTGCTAAATCTTTAAAGTTATTGAGGAAATTCAAGGCAAAATTCAAATAAATAGTCTGGGACTGTAAGCGTATGTTCATTTGCATGGCTTGGTTTGCTGCAGCAGATGAAACATGCTTTTGAAGGCAGCTAATGATCTCCAAAAATAGCACAAATGTTATCTCTTCAGGCTGAGGTCTCTTCAGAGTTGCATTCTGAGGTCTCTTCATGCGAACATAGTCTTCCTTCCTACTCAGTGCAATGGTATTTTGTTTGTGTTTATTTTAGGACTGGAGCTGTAAGCTGTCTTAAAATACAACTCTGTATACTAGCAATAACCAGAGCAATTGCACCATAGTCAGTCCCAAACAGAGAGCTGATCTTGATTTTTTTTATGGTCCCACCATTTTTCTAAAAATATTGGGGTAGATATTGCCAGCTTTTGATGAGAAAGAGCACCATATCCACAATTTTTATCAGATGCTCTGAAAAGGTGTTTCTGCAGGCAGACTTGAGAAATCTTGCTGGACTTGGTGCCAGTTCTGGTCTGGGATTGCTTTTGGCTGTATTAGCGCAGTGCTGAGCTGAAACTAAAGCTGAAACTAAAGGTCTGTGGAGCTTGTGGGTGGTGTTCACACACAGTTTTGAGCTGGCTCAGAACACAGGCAGAACTGATTTGTGCCTGCTTATGAAATGAGAATATTCTGTACATATAACTCACCCTCATATATCCACTAAAACATTTTATTCAGTGAATGAATAACATCCCTCACGCTTTTTCTTCTTTTTAGAGTTTATTTGTGAAGTTGCAAGAGTCAATTGTAGTTTATAAAATACTTTCCTAATGATTTAATCTATATAAGCAAATGCTGTAGCAATTGGGATTGTTTGGGACTAGGAAGAAATCCGATTAATGCAACTGTAAAAAAGGATGAAGGAATCTAAATTATCTGCAATTCCCTGGCCTCTCACTTTTGGGGGGGTCTGTCATTGAGACTAGACACTCAGGAAAGTGTTTTTTTCCTCTGTGTTTATACATGCATGATAATGACTTGTATTTGAAGATATTTTTAAAATTTTTGATATATTTTGAATTTTTTTCACAAAATACTATAAAAACAAAAAGCTTTCAAAATATCTGAAGTAGGACTTAAAAACCAGCAAGGTTGTAGCAAACACATTAGTAATACAGAACTTCTGTAACCTGCTTATCTTTCAATTTGTATAGAGACAAAAAGAAATATGATTGTAAAAACAAGTGTTGTGAAATTATTTTATGCAGATGTGAGATATATTTTGAACTGTTTATTCGCTATATAACTTTAAGAAAATCAACTAAGCAAAAAAAACCCAAACCCAAACAAACAAAACCCCAAACATAATCTCGTATAGATATTACTTGTTTATTTCTTCTGTGCTCTGATAATTTTCCTGGAGGGGCTACTTCCAAATGATCTGTGTCTTTCTGGAACTGTTGTGCCCAGGCTTGACACTGGGCTCAATGTGAAGTATCACCATTGCTGAGTAGACTCGAAAAAGTGTTTCATGTGTCTTTCGAACAATACATACCAGTTTAGTATTTTCTTTTTACCACAAGAGCAGGAGATGGTTGATTCATGCTTGTAATTCACTGTAATTCCCAAATTCCTTTCCCACAATATGTTTTTTTCCACCTCTCTCTTGTCCATTTTATCTGTGAAATTTTTCACGTAGGATTTTACTTTTGTCCATTATTAAACTTTTTCTTTCTTTTATCCCATTTCTCAAGTATCTCCTCCAAATATACACATTGTTTTCATGTGCAAATTTAAGAAGCCTTCTCTCTACTCCTTTGTCAATCAAATGAGAAAAATGAATGACACAGTCTCAGGATGAAGACCTATAACATAGTAGTTTCTGAATATAATTTTCAAAATGCAAACATAGCACTAAGACAACAATTTTTCATTTTCTCATAGTTTGTTTTCCTCAGCCAGGAGAGATCTGATTCCATTTTCACACAGCTTTCTATTTGTTTTGGATACTTAAAGTTGATTTCCTTCCTCTGGCTGTCACTTGGCTTGTGGTGTTAAGACTGGCTTGAGGATCCAGGCCATAGCAGACTTTTTGTATTATTCCTTGGAAAAATTGCTTAGCACACAGATCATCTCTTTCACTTGTGAAAATTTTCTCTGTATCCCTGTTGCAGATCTGTCTGTGCTTCTGCTCTTCCTGTAATCAAGAGCATTGTTTCTTTTTTGTGGCTTGTTCCCTGGGGATTTTGGTGTTTTCTGTCAGTCTCTTTTCATGCTACATGACTTAGGTCTTTACTAATGAGCACTGATCCTTTGAAAATACTTGTTTCTCTCACTTTTGCAATGCCCTTTCTCAGAACTAGCCCCACAGCATGAGTGGGAGGCTTCTTTTATGTCGTCTCTTGGGAAATTTCCTGGAAAGCTCAGATTCACATGAGTGCTTCAGGAGGATGGTTGCATGAATCATAACTTTCTGGATTCCAGAATGCCCTGTATTAGTCATTTATCTGGCATCACTCTTAACTCAAGCTGTGCTAAGATACTTTTAGATCTCTCCAACACATTCAGTGTAGCTTTTGCCAATTGCAAATATTGTAAAGGAGATTAAAATAAAGACATGTTTTTACTACAAGCAAATAAAGAAGTGCTCTCTTTCTCCTTGTAGTATCTTAACCTGATGAGATGCTTTCATGATCCATTTAGCTTTTTTTTTATTTCAACTAAAATATTATTTTGCTTTTACAGCAAAATCTTTCTTGGAATCCTTCTGAGGTATAACTTGGATTCAACTCCTGTTCTTCTGCTTTACTTTATATCCCTTAAGTCTCTCACGGAAGGGTCTAGTGTTTCAAATTATTCTTTACTGCTTTCTATCTTTTTGAAAAAAATGTCATTTTGGATGATTTAGTATAATCTTTTGTATCTGAGATGTCTGTTAACTTCTAACTTATTTTGGAGTAAACCACTCCACCATTGCTTTGTGACTTAAATATCTGAACCATATGTTGTATATTGACATAGAAACAAACACATTTTATGCTATGATAGTGTCTTTAGATCTTTGCAGACCACTGATGTTTTCTTGCGTTCCAGGTAGAGAGACTTCAGTCATCTTTTTCCAGGATACCTGGGTCAGGCTTAAACATTGCTTAACTGGATCTTTTATCTTTCCTTCTGGCTCATACCACAAGATTTTCATGAACTTTGGATATAGATCAAATATCATGTAACCATTATCCTTTCACTATCTCCATTTCCACTTTTTTGAGGGACAAAGAATTTTTAGTTGTTCTCATTCAACTTAAGTCCTGGATAAGAAGAGCGTGTGGGAAATTATCAAAACAAGATATTAAAGGGTAGCAGTTTCTAACATGTCTGCAGTTAGATGCAGGTTATTCCTTTTTCTTTCCATTATGAGCATTTTGAAAAAAATGTAAAAGCAGGGTACAGTAGATATCTTTCTCATGCCCTCCTCTTGAATTCAGTAGGCTTTTATTGAATAAATACTTCCTCTGCCAAATGTCTTTTTGCAACATTAGATGCAGGTTTATTCTTTCTTCTCACAAATTTCTCTGACAAATACACAAGTGTCTAAGGAGCAGACATTTGACTATAAACTCTGACCTATAGCTCAAAGGAGACAAAGACATACTATTGTATTTAGGTCTGAGAATAATCAAGTTGTTGGACAAAAATTGGTGGAACTGTTGTTATGTGCAGTGAGTCTCAGGTCTAGCAAATAGTTTGAGATCTAGTAATATGGTAATTCTTTATTCTTGGCACTATTAACAATCCTATACTAAGAAATTAAGTTGCACAGAAATAAAATTAATTTAAAAATAATTGAAATGCAATTCAGATTAAAAAAATATTATTTAAAGGTAAAATATGACATTTCCATTCTAAAATATGGTTTTCAGATTTTGAGAACTAGATTTTCTATAGCTAGCACCAAAAACTGGTGCAAAGCTGTGAAAGTGAACCACAACAATAGGGAAAATGTAACTTCTTTCATATTGAACTGGTTAACATCTCCCAAATGTGTAGGACTGTGCATTTCAAAGGGACTCTCTTAAACTAATTGCATTTGATAGATTTCAGTCTCCTTAGTCTTGTTAAAGCTGTAAAATTCTCTGAGAAAATTATTCTGAGAAGTTTAATGTTTGAAAGAGCTTGAATATTTCAGTTGAATATTGAGAGGGAGGGGAAATATTATTTCAACAATCATAAGTAAACCCAAATTTGCTTAAAA